TAAAAAATAAATAAAGATTTGGTTTGTGATTTACATTTAAAAAAATTAAAAAAATTATTATTAATAAGGAAAACAAAATAAAGATTTGATTTGTGATTTAAACTCAAAATAAAGATTTGTGTTCCAAACTTTAGATGGACTAATCTACTTTGGTGCCATCTTATACTATTATTATTGCAAATTTGAACTTTGTTCATGAGAGATAAAATATATCAAATGAGATGTCATTGAGTAGATCTCGAAAAGTTATGTGGAATAAAAAAAAAAATTACTTGATTTGGATACCCGAGTCAAAAATTATGACCTTATGAAATTTTATGGTTAAATTATTATTTTTTGTGCTCCGTGTTAACACCAGACGATTCACGCCTAATTTAGGCGTGAATAGTCACATCTAATTTGGACGTGAATGAGTGCAATAGATTCGTAAATAGATTCGAAACAGTAACTTATTCGTAATTATTTATTAAAAATACAATATTTTAATTTTTTTTTCCCGTTTCTCGGGTGGTTTCCCAGTTAGCTCTCACGTGCAACAATTCCTTTGGCAAACTCTACCTCTATTTGCTATGGCCATGTGAGAATCATAGCTTAAGATATGTCAAGTAACAACACGGCAAACATAATATATTATAAAATTTTAGTGGTGCTTTTTCTTTTTGGTAAAGCTGTATTTTTCTTGTTTGATTTGATAAAGTTACACAAAAGTTACACAACAATCTTTAAGTTATCAGTATAAATATTCGATTATTAATAAGTTTAATAATTTTTTTTGTATTGTCATTTAATTTTAAGTTATTACTTCGTTAAAAGAATTTAACTTCTTGAAGTTTTTTTTTTAAATATTTGGAAAGTTTAAGAATTCAAATAGCCATATTATAATCAAAATTAAACATTGCAAGAGTTGATGGTAATTGAAAATCCAAGTAACGTGGCAGAGGACACAAACAGTTTAAGCACACAAGAAAGTTAGCTTAAGTCCAAAATTCTTACATGAATCATAGTCGAATTCGTTATCATCGGCTAATTTGGATTTCACAGCAAAAAATAAAAAAAGGACACATAGGCAAATTATACTCACGAACAGCATAATCATATATGATTTTTAATTATTAAAAAATAAAAGTGTCAATTTGTAATGAAATCCGTTGTTGCAGAAAACTCCCTGTCTATAGCCCCTCCCCATATGTGATAGTTAAACCTATAAAAATTGGAGAAGCATATGCATCACCTTCTTTTTTTGAATATTTAAGTGTGATAAAGTCTTACATTGATATTGATTGGTAATGGATTGAGTCAATATCTTAAAGTTTTAGATTATAGTATAGCGTTGGACCCATTTATTATGGTTGGTCTAACTTAGTTCATTGATTGTGATTCCTTACTATGGGCTCCTCTTGGCCCATTCGACAGTGATATTAGAGTTAATAGTTGATTGGTTTGAGTGTACCTATATTGTGGACCAAAAATTGATTCACTTTTGATTGATAACCCCGTTAATACTCGAAGAAGCTTTCAGAGTTAACAATTGTATGACTCACACGTGAGAGAGAGATTGTTGGAAATTCAAATATGAGTAATAAAAAATCATGCATTGAAAAGAAATAGACTAAGCATGGTACATACAACGACGGATACCAACAATCAACAAGAAAAAGAGAATTCTCAAAGAAAAATCATCTCCTTCATGGATTTTCCTGGCTCCATCCCTAGATACATATAAGTAAAATAATTTATAAATTTAATATCTTAAAATTTTAGATTGAAATGAGATATCAAATTCTCTTATCGTGCATATAATCTCCCCAAATTAGGCTCTTTGCTCGTGCAACTTTTTTAGTTTTCAAGTCAGGCCCATTTCAACCTACATTATGATTTGTGGGCTTACATCGTTTCTTATAAAAAATAGATTCCCAGACTTAACTGATGAAACCTTATGAAAGGTACTCCTTATCTTTCTTTTTTGCCTTTTAATAATATAATAGTATACATTTGTTACTTTAGCCCTATTGGGACATTAATGACTTTTGGGGAATCTCAAAATAATTTTGGAGAACTATAGAAAAAGTTTTTTTAGTTATATTCACATAAAAATAAATAGATTTTATTGTAAAAAAAATAGAGAGAAAATATTAGTGGAATTCACTTACTATTATATATGTGTGACAAAATAAAAAGTAAAAATTCTGCATTAAAAACTGAAACATTAAACCTATAATATCATTTAATAATTTAAACATCCTAAAATAATGTTAATAATATATCATTTAATTTTTAATCTTTGAAAACTTATAAATAATTGTAATTATTTTTTTAATATTGTAATTATGTAGCATAAAAGCAACCGTAATATATCAGTCACATTATCTCTTAAGTATCCTTTTTATATTCTAATATGCACGTGATATAAAAACATGAAGGAAGGTAAATGATATACGAATACAATATATTATCGCAATTATTGTTGAACCTTTTGTCTATTTGTAAAATAAAAAATGCATAGCCAACACGTGAACTTTGTGGATGAGCGTTCTTAATTATTGCAGAAAAAGTCTTCTCTTCCATTTCATGCTGGAGCGGGCAATCACAATATACTATTACAGGCACAGCTTCTGAATTTTTATATTATACGCAACTCTAAGCTAATAGTACGTAACACATCAGCTCAAAAAAATAGTAGGGAACATAAACTTAATGGGATAGGATATTGTGACACCCAAGTTATGTTACACCCATGTGACACCCAGTTAATCTCACCGTTAGATCGCTTATGTTAATCTAACGGTTATATTTATTTCCATCTTTGTATGGTCATGATTTTCCAAATTTAAAGTGAAAGCATTAAATATGGGAAATCATAAGCATACAAAGGGAGAAATAAATATAAAATATTAAATTTGGGAAATCATGATCATACAAAGATGGAAATAAATATAACCGTTAGATTAACATAAGCGATCTAACGGTGAGATTGACTGGGTGTCACATGGGTGTAACATAACTTGGGTGTCACAATATCCTATCCCAAACTTAATTACTGTAATAATAAAAAAAGTGTAACTTTCACCAAAAAAAAAAAAAAGTGTAACTTTAAAACCACCACAATTTTTCATACATTTACCACATACGCGCATAAGAGTAATTTATTATTTTTATAATCGAAAATTTTAAGATAAATTCAAACTCAATTGATCTGATCACTGTCGTGAATAAAAAATTAATCGGGCGAGACAATTAATCATATTGACTAAATATAAATGCTAATAAAAAGAGTGAAAACGAATTTTGTTTTGTTTATAAAGTTTTTTTTTTTAAAGTCCTTATTTTATTCATATATTTCCAAATAAAATAAGAGAAAAATATTTATTATTTTAAAAGATATAATTTTATGTCATTTTAAAACGACATCATTTTGGTACATGATTGATAATTTTTTATATTTCTTCTCTTTCAAAAACTTAAAAAGAGAAAAAAAAGTGAAGGAGAGAGAAATTTAAAATTATCAATCATACACCAAAACGACGTCCTTTCATTTAAAAATTACATTATTTAAAAGAATAAATATTTTCTTCATAAAATAATAAAAATATATTGTTATATGTTAGAACAAAACTATTAAATGTTTCATAAAAATAATAATTCATTAGTTTTCTCTCCTCCTTTTTCTGATTCTTCTCACCTTATTTTTTCTCTCGCCCTACTTTTTATCATATATCTCCTTTAAATCAAATATAAAATTATAACTGGTATTATTTAAGAACAATAAATCAAATAAAGTACGCCGACGCACAAAGTATATGAATTATTAGAATAATATGTTTGAGTCTTTTTGTGTCGAGTACTTTAATTCTATGAATTGATAGTGAAATTTCACTGTTTGGGTAACCATCTATTATACATTATAGTATTATATACTAATAAAAGCATACGCTTGTACGTAAGAATAAAACTAATAAATGTTACATAAAAATAGTAATTATTGTTACAAAATAATAATAATAATAATAATAATAATAATAATAATAATACTTAATTAATATTCGTTCATCTTTTTCTCATTTTATTTTTTTCTCTCTCACCTTACTTATTAGCATATGCCTTCTTTAAATCAAATATAAAATTATAATTGATATTATTTAAGAACAATAGATCAAATAAAGTACGTCGACACAAAACAATTATTGTTTATTACAATAATATGTTTGTTTGTTTTTGTCAAGTACTTTAATTCTAAAAATTAAGAGAAATTTCAATGATTTCAAATTATTAAATGCACATTCTTATATATTATAACATTATTTATACTAAATACTATTTTGTTTTCGTTTCAATTTCGATAAAATAAATTTCAAAATAATGCAAATTTAACGCTTAATTTTCATTAAAATTAATTATAAATTCTAATATTAATTTTTCTAATTTCATGATTGCTCACAATTCTCTTATATATATATATATATATATATATATATATATATATATATATATTAATTTCGAGTACCCTTTCATAAGGATAGGTTAGTTTATCATGTTATTTTCTCCATTTAAATGTTAAATAATTTTTAATAATTTTCTTATTTTTATTTTTATTTTTATTTTAGCCTTAGTATTCTATCTATCTTTACTTTTAAAAAAATCCAATCTATTTTTAACTTTTTAAAATCCAACCTATATTTGTTTGAAAATGTTATTCTTATCCATTATCCATACTATTATATACGGATTCTCTAAGTTTAGTCACAACATAACTTAAAATTTGACAAATAAAAAGATAAAAAAAATAGTTTATTTTCAAAAAATTGTATATTTGTAATATGTGTGAAAGAAAAGATGAAATATTAATAATAACATATACAAAAATATAGTTAGGAATTCTTTAAATAGCCAGATAGAGGCACGAGTCACGCACTAATTATTGATTAATAAACATTGAATATCCGAGAGTGCATATTGGAATAAAATTAAATGGGTACATAAAAATCAAATGCATTGAATAAGAGGCACTCAAATAATGCTTCTCAGCATAAATACTTGATTCTTGAATTCTTTTGTTCTTATCCCCAAACCACTAAACCTCTCCAAGTCCTTTTCATTTGTAGCAAAGCAATGGATGCAGAACAAGTTCTGAAATTGTTTGATACATACTGGTTTGAGACAACAATCTTCACCAACAAAACCTCTTCACCTTTCCATTCAACATTGGATTCAACCTCTCGGACCCAGGTGTTGGAAGTGCTTCGTTTAGATACAAAGCTTACAAGAATTCCAACACTTCAAGTGAGGTCTTTTAGTGATCAAAACTTGGGCTCAAAAGTTGATGCTTTCTCTGATTCTCTATCACCTGATTCTGTCCTCACACCACAGAAGCTGAGAACAATTCTTTCTGGGAAGGAAGTGAGAGAATTCCCACTGGAAAAAGGTCATGGAAACCATGAAGATGAAGAGGAAGAAGTAACCACTAAGAAAAAGCTCATTAGTCAGAGTCATAGAAGAAGACTCAGAAAAGGAAAAACCACTAGGAGCCTATCAAACCTTGAGTTTAAGGAGCTAAAAGGGTTTATGGATTTGGGTTTTGTGTTTTCTGAAGAAGACAAAGATTCAAGATTGGTTTCTTTGATACCGGGGTTGCAGAGGCTGGGAAGAGATGAAGCACGTGAGAGTACAGAACAACAGAACATTGATGAAACTGTGATTTATAGGCCTTATTTATCAGAGGCTTGGGGTATCTTAGACCAAAGGAAAGTTGTAAATCCATTGTTGAATTGGAGGGTACCAACTCCAAGCAATGAGATAGACATGAAGGACAATCTTAGGTTCTGGGCTCACACAGTTGCATCCATTGTAAGATAACAATGAACAATTAAGTTTTCTTTTCAGGTGGATGTGTTAAGTGCACTCTTGCTGTTTTTATTTGGAAAATCCTTATTTTTATATATTTGATTCTAGCTATAATCATAGATGTACTCATGTGCATTTCCCAAGTTAATTTTTTTTTTTGTACCCAAGATTTTTTTTTTCTTTCCTTTTTCCCTAGTGCAGTTTTGTCAATCTCTTAGCTAAGTGTAGCATATGATACTAAGAGAAAGGTACTTCTGGAAAGAGGTAATTGTTATGGTATTGGTTCATTTTGCCATCTTGATTGGATAAGAATTCTTCCTCTAAAGAATTTTGATTTGTTTATTCCAAGTGCATCAAGACACTCTTTTCTGCTTCTTCAATTATTTGTTTTTCTCTTTTCTTGATAATTGAACACATATGGCTGTTAAAAATGTGGTTGACACATGGTTTTCATACCAACTCAAAATGCTTAAATAATGCTGTTTAGTGAATAACAAGAATGGCTGGGCCTATTTGATAGAGACAAGAAGATAAGCAGGGCCACTAGTAATTATTTACACTTGAGTGGAGGGTGCAACTTTTAGCATAGTGTTCTATTAGCAAAAGTTTAAGACCCACTGGAATCACACTTTAAATCAAAGATGAAAAAGAAGGAAGGGAAGTTGGGATAACACCACTTTCCATCCATTCAGGCAACTCCACTGGCAAATGTAGTCTGATGATTGCATCAGGCAATACTTATCCAACATTTTTAAAGAGGTTAATTTCAAACTTTTTAATGATTATGTTTCTGAATTTTTAGATCAAATTGACTTTTTGGTGTTTTTGCAAAATTCATAAACTTTTAAAATAACTTAAACAAATAATTAAAAAATATATATCTTTTGAAATTTCCTATCCTATTTGGGCATTTTCAACTCAAAATATACCTCTAACTTTTTCCTCTCTTTTTTCTTTTGGTTTTTGTATTCTGTTTTTTTTTTTTTTTTTTAAAATGTAGAGTATACTATACAATTTATAAGGATAGTTATTGATGGAAAGTTAATAAAAATATATTATTACAATTTTATAGATTGTTACCACATTATTTATACTTTAAATAATTAATTTGTCAACAATGGTGATTAATTTTATCTAAAATCATAAAAAAAAAGCATCTAAAACTTTAAAGAAAATTAATCCCTTTTTTATCTTAAATACTAAAAAAATTATTATTTAAGAACTCTCATCACATATAGTGATTATTTATTTTCACAAGTTAATATATTGTACTGAATAATGACATTAATTTTAAGTAATTATATTTGTAATAAGTTTTTATTTGAAAATCTCTCCCAAAAAATAATTTCCTGACCAGGGTCTTCATTAGACAATGACGAAAGGAGAAGTGCTTTATATATATCAGGGGTAGTACAACACTTAATCTAATTGTTTTGGTACATATAAATAAGTTAAATAATTTTTTTTATACATGGGTGAGAATTGAACAAAAAAACCTATTACAAACTATCCAAATCCTTTATCACTAGACTAAACTTAGTGACTTTAAGTTAAATAATTAAACAGAACAATATTTCTGCAGTGAATGCAGATCAGTTATCTGCATTTACTTCCAAAACGACGTCATTTTGAGATTGAAAAATTAAAAAATTATAATTATAAAGACTGTAATAACCCTGAAATAAATTAAAATTACAAAAATACCATGATTTCTGCCCTAAAATAACGTCATATTGGATTTACTGCAGATAACTTATCTGCAGTAACTGCAGAAAAAACGAACCCATAATTAAATATGAACTATGAATATCAAAATGAAAATTATAATTGTTGAATGTGATAAGAATCTTTGACCGAAGACTCTGTCCGAAAGGATGCATACTTGCTATGGCCTACTTGACGTAATAGTGTATCTCTAATTAATGCTGAAGTTAGACAAGGAACCAAGATGGTTTTAGACCATTCTTCATACCATGTATCTTTAAGAAACTCATAACGTCATAGTTAACAATCAAACATGAACGTCATTGTTTGATACCAAGTATATTCTTTCACTTATTGCTATTTACTTGAATATTAGGGGCTCGTAGGAGGGTGTAATTTTACTAATCAGTGTCTTCTGATACCATAAAGAGGATTATTCACATATAAACCTTGTAATTCTCCCTTTCCTCCAGAAAAAGTTATCTGAAATGCATTGTATAACTTTTTTTTAAAATATATATATTACTTGCGCAATTTCAACCCAAATTAGTTCTCTTCAAGATGCTTACCCAAAGATTTGGACTTGAGGTTCAAATAATCACTTTTAACTAAGGCACCCATTGGGTAACGGATTGTATAACTAACAAATTCATGTGCGACAGAAAATATTGTCATGCCTGGTCTCACATGATGTTTGTGTGTTGCTAGACTAATTTGCATTCCCTGCTTGTCTAATGGAAGCTTGGATTGCATTATTGAATTTGCAAATAAAATTAAAGAGAACACACATCTGAAATTATTTGAGGAACAGAAAGAACGTGTATGCTCCGATACTTGTTAAAGGATATTGTGCTACCATGATTCAACATGAAGCTATTATTTAAAATTAAAAAGATGTGCTTAAATTATTTAGGTATAATCTGTATCCTTTTAAATAGAGATTTATGAGTGTATGAGCTGTACCCATCAATTCACAAGAGTCAACCCCTGCTCAGGTTTTCATTGAATTATCTGCATTAACAAATTATCTATTCCATGTGTTGTAGGGCTTCTCATTCATGCAATTGTAATAGTTACAAAAATGGTTTTTGAAGACTAAAAAAATTAACTTATCAATACTTACAAAAAATTCAAAGACTATTTTGTACAAAATTAAACTTTGACGAATTAAAATGGAAGAACCAAATAGTGTATCGACTTAAACACTTGAGCAGTTGATTTTTTCTGGACTATAAATATTTTTACCAAAAATTCATTCTTTCCAATTTTCCCAAGAATTAACAATAGGTATGATTATGAAGCACACTGCAACATAATTATAAACTAGCTTTCTTTTATATTCCTTTGTATCACTTAAATTCATCTATGTATACAAATTTACCTTAATTACAGTTGCTGCATATACAATTATGGAAAATGAATTAATTACATGAGACTAAATGTTATAGAAGATTAAGGGAAAGTAATGGTCACTTGTCATTGCCAGAGCCTGCCTCTGGAAGTTTAAATGTGGGAGGCTTATCAACACCCCTTCTTGAGTACTCCCTCCATCTTCTTGCAGCAGCAGCAGCTCTTTTTGCTCTTTCCTTCACTTCCTCTTCTGCAAAATGATTACCATTTGAAAGACTAAGTAGGATACTCAATATAATCCTCATATTACAGTAATTGTCAAAGCATATTTACAACATAAGGCCAAATTTTTATTAATAGAAACTTCAGAATTTGGAAAGTAAAAATATAAATCATCCTTACTCAAGAATTTCTGAAATAAAGACCTCAAACAATACAACACTTAAAAGAATAAAACAGAAACATTTGGAAAATATAATTGTTATAATTTCCAATAATTTGAAGTGTATATATTACTTTTATACTTTCACATCCCCCGTACCTGAACTTTGATACTCTTTCGGTTTGCCCCGCAGATTGTCCCAGTATGAACCTGTTTTATCAGAACCTTGCTGCTTCATCATTCTCAATTTTGCTTGTTCCTGCAAGAAACTCATAAGTATTAATGTTGTAAATATTAGGTCTTTTATTATTATTAGTATTTGTTGTATTGGGCCAAGCCCATTAGGTCAAGAATTAGGGTTTTTGGTCTCTATAAATAGAGACCTCTTTGTATCATATTAATTCACAATTCAATAATATTTCAAATACCCTTTTCTTTCAAGTTGGTATCAGAGCTCTCGATTCAGAGGGCTCTGCTTCCGCGCCTACAAAACCTTTCTATTCTTTTTTACGTCTCTCGCTGCCATCAGCCGCCACCGGAAATTTTTTTCCGGGGACCTCTTGGACCGAGAAGACCATTGCTTCACTGTTCCTCTTTCTTTTTCTTGTCTATTACACAACCAGAAACAAACGTTCACAGAATCAACGTACAGAACCACCGTACAGAACCTGTTCATCGCGATTGGAACCTTTTTCCGGTGGATTCTTCACTCCGAACAGCCACAGAAACCATCGCGCTCGCCGGACGACCTTCGCCTGAAAAACCCAGCACCATCGGAGGTCAGACGCGCCTCCACGCGCCTCCCTTGTCTCTGCGCGTGAATCCCACGCGCCGCCAGCTTCACCGGCGCGTGACAGCGCGTGACGGTGGTTCTCGGCCGCGGACCACCACGGTTCTGATCGTCTCTCCAAGCCGGTTCTGGATCTGTGCTCTCTACTTTGATCGGACATCGTTTGGTATTTTTTTTCAGAATTTCTTGGCTTCTTGGAGTTTGTTCTTTCACCAATTTCTTGCCTCCGACCAGATCTGACGTTGTTTGGTATTTGTTCCGGTCACTGTGTTACTGTTTCGGCCGCTGTGTTACTGTTCCGGTCAGATCTGACGTTGTTTAGTATTTGTTTGTGATTTTGTGGCTTGTTGGAGCTTTTCTTTGACCATTTGCTGTGCAGTATGGCCTCTTCTCAAAGGAGTTCTTTTTCAAAATTTTATGATGGTACCTCTTCTAGACCTAAGAGAAATGATCGATGGTGTTCTTATTGTAAAAGAACAGGTCATATCAAGGATTTATGCTTTCGCCTTTATGGAAAGCAAACTGTCTTAGAAAAGATGGCAAGGATGCGTGGTCAAGCGCATTTTACTTCTTCTGAAATAACCCCTGCACCTAATGAGACCCAATCTGCATTTCGTCCAGATGAGTTGGAACGACTCCGAACCATTCTTGATTATCTGAGTAAGCCATCTGATACTAGTGCTTTGGCTATGACTGGTATGAGCTCCAAAACTCATTCTTTCATTTCTTCATGTAATGATTTTAAACATTCTTGGGTTGTTGATTCTGGTGCTACTGATCATATGGCTTGTTGTGCTGACTCCTTTATTTCTTATCATCTTACCATTGGAACTCATACAATATCCATAGCTGATGGCTCACATACATCAGTTGCGGGTTCTGGTGACATAAACTTACAGCAGTCCTTACATCTTAAGGATGTTCTTCATGTTCCTAAACTCTCCACGAATCTTCTTTCTATTCACAAAATTACAAAAGATTTGAATTGTACTGTAACCTTCTTCCCTACCCATTGTGTTTTTCAGGATCTCGCCACAGGGAAGACGATTGGTAGTGCTAAAGAGCAAGGTGGGCTGTACTATCTGGTGTCACAATCTCCCGCAAATAAAGTAATAGATCACACATTCATGTCTCATGGTCAATCAACTGCTGATTCTTTAATTTGGCTGCATCATAAGCGTTTGGGTCATCCTCCATTTAGTTTACTCAAATCTTTATTCCCGTCATTGTTTTTGTCTAAGTCTGTTGAGTCTTTTCATTGTGATGTTTGTGAATTTGCTAAGCATCATCGTGTGTCTTTTCCTTCTAGTATTACTAAGAGTGTTGAACCTTTTGATCTTATTCATTCTGATGTTTGGGGTCCTTCTAAGGTCCCTCATTCTTCTGGAAATAAATGGTTTGTTTCTTTTATTGATGATTACACTCGTGTCACTTGGGTTTACTTAATGCGTGAAAAGTCTGAGGTACCACAACTGTTCTTTCAATTTTATAAAATGATTGAGATTCAATTTTGTAAAAATATCAAAAGACTAAGGACAGATAATGGTAGTGAATATGTCAATCACTCTTTTTCCCAATTTATACAAAATCAAGGTATGATTCATGAACTTACTTGTGTAGACACCCCTCAACAAAATGGGGTTGCTGAAAGTAAAAATCGTCACCTTCTTGAAGTTGCTCGTGCCTTACTGTTTCAAACACATGTACCCAAATGCTATTGGGGAGATGCCATTCTTACTGCAGCGTTCTTGATCAATCGTCTACCCACTCGGGTTCTCGATCATGTAAGTCCTATTCACTCCATGACTTCTTTTTTTCCTTCTGTTCCAACTTTGCAAAGTCTTCCTCCTCGAGTGTTTGGGTGTGTTGTCTTTGTTCATATTCATAAACAGCATCGCAATAAGTTGGATCCTAGGGCTCTTAAATGTGTCTTCCTTGGTTATGCTCCTGATAAGAAGGGCTACAAGTGCTATCACCCTGGAAGTCGAAATTTTTTTGTTTCTATGGATGTTACATTTCAGGAATCTGAGTCCTTTTTCCAAGGTCCTCATCTTTAGGGGGAGAATAATTCACCAGAAGACTCATCACCTTCCTTCTTTGAATCTTCAGTGTCTACTTCTTCACCTGTGTCAGTGTCTCTTCCTCTTGTTCCTGTTCCTAATGTGTCTATGTCTGATCCTCCTGTGACTGATCCTCCTGTGACTGATCCTCCTATGACTGATACATCAAATACACCAGAGATACGGAAGATTGTGACACCTGAATTGGTATATCAAAGAAGGAAACAGCCCACATTGCCTCAACAGCAACCTCAATCGTCTGAACCACTGGTAAGTCCTGAATCTCATATTTCTGATCATGATGTTAATACGTCTGATGACTTACCCATTACTACTGTTTCTGATGACTTACCCATTACTACTGCTTCAGATGATTTACCCATTGCTTTAAGAAAAGGAAAAAGATCTTGTTCCAAGAAAACTTGTTCTTCCTGTCCCTCTTGTACTCAATACCCTATCTCCCATTTTGTTTCCTCTGCTAATCTTTCTGTGCAGCACAAAAGCTTTGTTTCAGCACTAGATTCTACTTCAATCCCAAAATCAGTACATGAAGCTTTGAAAGATGGGAATTGGGCTCAAGCCATGCAAGAGGAGATGAATGCGTTGGAGAAAAATAAAACATGGGAGGTTATTGATAGACCCAACGGAAAGAAAGCAGTAGGGTGCAGATGGGTTTATGCCCTGAAATATAATTCTGATGGCACTCTTGAGAGATACAAGGCTCGATTAGTCGCCAAAGGTTACACTCAAACCTATGGCATTGATTATGAAGAAACCTTTGCTCCAGTTGCAAAGATGAATACAGTGAGAATCTTGTTGTCCCTTGCTGCCCATTACAATTGGGATATAAATCAATTTGATGTGAAAAATGTTTTCCTCAATGGTGAGTTAGAAGAAGAAGTCTACATGGAAATCCCGCCTGGTTTTGATTCTGTGAAGGGGGAAAATAAAGTTTGTCGATTAAAAAAGGCCTTGTATGGATTGAAACAGTCACCTCGTGCTTGGTTTGGAAGGTTTACTAAGGTTATGATGACCTTAGGATATAGACAGAGTCAAGGAGATCACACTCTTTTCTTCAAGCACTCCCAAAATGGGAAGCTTACTGTGCTCCTTGTATATGTTGATGATATTATTATCACAGGTGATGATTTTGTGGAGAGACAGATTCTGCAGACACAACTTGCCTCTGAGTTCGAAGTCAAAGACCTTGGGAAACTAAGATATTTCCTAGGGATAGAAGTAGCTCATTCAAGCAAAGGAATTTTTATCAGTCAGAGGAAATATGTTTTGGATCTTCTCAAAGAAGCAGGGAAGCTCGGGTGTAAACCCTCTAATACTCCTATTGAGCAGAATCACAAGATAGGCTTTGAAGAGGAGAGTCCTCCAGTTGATAAAGGACAATATCAACGGCTAGTTGGAAAATTGATATATCTGGCCCATACTAGGCCAGACCTAGCTTATGCTGTTAGTGTTGTCAGTCAGTTTATGCACGATCCAAAGGAGAAACACATGCAGGCAGTAGAGAGAATTCTTCAGTATCTTAAAGCTACTCCTGGTAAAGGATTGTTATTCCGACGTGATGGTAATCTCTCTTTAGAAGTCTACACTGATGTTGATTATGCTGGATCCGTGACTGACCGTCGTTCTACCACTGGTTATTGCATGTTTCTTTGCGGTAACTTGGTGACATGGAGAAGTAAGAAACAAGATGTGGTTGCCAGATCAAGTGCAGAAGCTGAATTTCGAGCTATGGCTCAAGGCATTTGTGAGTTACTGTGGCTGAAAATTGTACTTGATGATCTCAAAATAAAATGTGAGGGACCTATGAAGCTGCTATGTGATAATAAGTCCGCTATTTGTATAGCTCATAATCCAGTTCAACATGATCGGACTAAACATATTGAGGTCGACCGCCATTTCATCAAAGAGAAACTTGATAGCGGGTTGATTACCACTCCATACATTCCCACTGGGCGTCAATTAGCTGATCTATTGACAAAGGGACTTCCTTCAGATAGATTTCAAGAACTTACTAGCAAGCTGGGAATGATAAATATCTATTCCTCAGCTTGAGGGGGAGTGTTGTAAATATTAGGTCTTTTATTATTATTAGTATTTGTTGTATTGGGCCAAGCCCATTAGGTCAAGAATTAGGGTTTTTGGTCTCTATAAATAGAGACCTCTTTGTATCATATTAATTCACAATTCAATAATATTTCAAATACCTTTTTCTTTCAAGTATTAAATTGTGCAAGAAACCAAACTAATCAAGTGCATAACATGTTTTTGACACTGAAGCTGGAGTGAAATTTCACATGACAAAAATGTAAAATTTAATAGTTCCTTTGTCTGTGTTTAAGAGCATGTTCCAACCTTAAGTATCATGAATTTTGTAAGACCTCGTACTATTAAGCAATTATTGCATTATCTAAAACTGCAGAGCCTTCCATTTCTCTTAAAAGAATAGCATGCTAGACGTAAAGCTTTGTGTTACTTATGTGGACCGGGTTGGATCAATGTAATAATTAATTACAGTGAAATCTTAGAAAGTGAATCATATCAAGACAAGGAAACTTGTGCACACTATATTTGAACTTTGCAATTTCAAATTTCTTAAGAACCCATCCACTCTCTAGAGAAAAAAAAAAGATAATTAAATAATACAATCCAGAGTCTAACAAAAAATAATAATAATAATAATAATAGTACAATCCAGAGAGTAGATATAAACACATAAGATCAATTGCATATAAATAAGTGACTCTTCACATATTAAGCAAAAAATGAAGGTGAATCAGAATATAAGAGTTCTAACCAAGACTTTTGACTGCCTCTTTTCCCATCGCGAATTTGCCTGTCAATAGTACATGCAGATCATGTTAGAGGAGAACAGCACTTACTAAGCAATTGACATTCGAAGAAAATATTTTCTCTTAAAGTAAGCTTTAAACTTAAGAGGCATAAATCTATGACTACAGCATGGAAAAATGAAATGCTACAACGGATTATAAGGTTCTGAAAAAATACTTTCTCAATCCATGTTATGATGACCTTTTAATCATTGTTTCGAAAGTCAGAATGAAGAATTCAATCAGGTCATAGGTTATGAGAATCTGACTATTGTGCTTTACAAAAACAATAAATAAATAAATAAAATTGACAATTGTATCCCAAGAAATCCCCATCAACCCACAACATACAGACCAAATGTAGAGTAAAAATTAGAAGAAAACATGTGAACATAAAAAATAAATCTTGTAGTTCAGTGCATTATTCTTACCATTCTAAAAACATCCATCGATGCTGATCCCATTCCTGAAAGCATTAGGGCAACCTGCTCATATTTAAGAGACTCAGTAGGAATATTAACAGTGCCCAAAATACTTAACAAGATCATAAGCATTTGTTTGTCCAAAATCAATTTGAGGATAATATTATAGCATTTGGAGTATTTTTTTAAAAGAAAAAAAAATTACTTTAGCTAACAATTTCCCCCTTCAATCACCAATTAGTTAATAAAAATTTCAAATGGACGTTTTGAGCATCTTTTTTTCATTTAAAAAGCATTTTAAAACTAGGAAAGTAAAGCTTCATGTATTGAAAATAAAGTGTAAAGAACTACTTCAACCCAAAACTTTAAGGTGTTGGGTGATGGTCTTTTTAATGATTTATATTATTCTCTAACACACCCCTCACGCAAGAGCCCTTTGGGCTAGAAACGTGGATATTGCACAGGCCCAATTTTTGGCTTATCTTTTTGTGCTTTTTTATTTTTTTTAATTCCATTTTAAAGTGTGGAACGGCGAAGATCGAACTTGTGACAGTCACTCAAGCTCTGATACCATGTTAAAGAACCACTTCAACCCAAAACTTTAAGGTGTTAGGTGAGGATTTAAGCTTTTGGGTTGAATTGATTCTTTATATGGTATCAAAGCCTTCGGTGTACCGAGTTCGATCCTCACCGCCCCTACTTTCTTTCTAGTGGAATTTCTCTCTTCGCACAAGTAGGTGGGCCTGTGCATTGTCACCCTTCAAGCCCAGTGGGCTGAGATATATAAAACATTGATGTAGCCTCGCCCAACAGCTTAAGCTTTTGGGTTGAATTGGTTCTTTACATAAAGAAAAAGTAGAAGCCAAAAGACTTCAATAAATATGGAGGAACATCGAGGATGACCTTTGATTATACACTAAAATTATCTGAAAGCCATTAAGAAACTCAAGTTTGAAAACTTCAAAAGCATGTGCCAAAAACAGAGGTGATGAAATTATCTTAGGAAGATAAAGATTGTGCACAAAAAAAGAAAAATAAATAAAATAAACTGGAAGAATTATACTTTATAACTGAGTCCTTACATTGACTCTTTCTACACGGCGCATTTCATCTTCAAGTAATGATAGTTGTGCAGCAGATGTCCAATGAATGCAGTCAACAGGGCTGAAATTTAAAATAAAAAAATTTGTTAAATTAATTCCAGTAATCTTCGTTAGCTTATTTGCTTCACAAGCAATATAACTGTCATACCAGAGGTTCTAAAACTCAAGTATCTAACAGCAGCAATGGGAAATTAAAACTGTATAACGTAGAAGTTAAGAAAGAACATGGCTGATTCCGATATTAATTATGATATAGATAAACCAAGGTGCCTAGAGCAAGCTTTGGTTCACTGGCCTAGTGACCTATACTTAATGGTATTCAACTAAGTTTTCAGCTAATAAAATATTTGATGTCCTGTCACCTTTGATCTCAACACAAGTCTCAGAATGCTATAAGTCAATATCAAAGGCTTCAAACCATGACCAGAATAGCTACAGAAGTATGAGCTTTTTCATGAGGGTTCTGAACATGAAATTAATATCAACGGTGTTAACCTTTGGCTCATTTCATAGATTTGAGTACAGCTGACAAAGGGTTAATATCATAAAATGTAATTAGCCTGATTTATGAAAGTTCAATTGATTATTGTTATCTGTAATACAATAAGATAACGAACTAACCAATATAGCTATATAATGCAGCCTGTGACTACGAAGACTTTAATCTTAGGTTCTTAATTGTGTATAATAAAAATGAGAAAATTGAAGTAAAGGGCTTGATAAGTATAAAAATGGCAATTTTAAGACATGTCAAATTATGTTAACCAGCATATCAATGCTTTATGGTTCCTTATCATCATGTAGAAGTGTTCTTTTGTCCCTAAAAAGTATGGAACCCAAGATCAACATAAAACTTAAATTTATTCGTAGAAGCAAAGCCCGGGGATTATCAAAGTTGAAGCAAGTTTAATTAGACTTCTATTATACTTAAATTAATTATAATAACAGAAATGACTGATAAATACAGTTGATTAGAGTGATGCACATAGTCATACCAACTGTCAATCGCCTGTTGAACTAATTCCGGTTTCCCGCATTGGCTGTATACTCTGGCTCTTCCAAAGTCTTCCTCTATTGCAAACACATCAGAGGCTACATTGGCACAATTTTTGCAGCCTGTTGAAGGATTTGCACTTTAGTTACATGATATGCTTTGTAATATCTCACTGCAATGCTTTCTAGATGTATCACTTGTCAGGTGGGGTCTAGGGGGAGCCCGTGGCGGAGGACCACCACTAATGGACTAAGACTACATCAATCGTAGCAAGTGGATCCGACATCATGTCTCAACCCAAAACCTTAAGGTATTAGGTGCATGGGTCCTTCCACTTATATGCATTATGTTTAGCCCATTACCAATCAACGTGGGACTCTATCACACTTCAATTATTCCAACAATCTCCCCCTCAAGTGTGAAACCCTCCATTGGTATAAAACCATTAATGTAGCCTCACCTAACAACTTAAGTTTTTAGGTTGAATTGGTTCTTTACATGGTATCAGAGCTTTCAGTGACCACGAAGTCACTCCTCATCGCCCTCCACTTTCTAGTGAAATTAAATAAGCATAAGGTAAACCAAAAATTAGGCCTGTGCAATATCCAACTTCAAGCCCAAAGGGCTCTTGCGTGAGGGGATGTGTTAAAGAATAGTATAAACCATTAAAAAGGCCCTCACCCAACAACTTAAGTTTTTGGGTTGAATTGGTTCTTTACATGGTATTAGAGCCTCAATGTCACGATTTCGATCCTCACCGCCTCCTATTTAATTAATAATTAATTATTTCTTATAGCACAGATAGGTGGACCTGTGCATTATCCACCCTTCAAATCCAATAGGCTCTCATGTGAGGGGGAGTGTTAGAGAAGTATAAAACCATTAACGTAACCTCATCTAACCGCTTAAGTTTTTGGGTCGAATTGGTTCTTACATGATATCAACCTATCAGGGGCTTATAAATGAAAACACCCTTACATCCTTATTTCACACACCAAAAATCTTCTTCCTATCTTTTATATATTTTTTAGAGGAAGGTTATATTTACAAACTCTTATAAACTACACTATGTCTGACCGATCAATACACTAATCAAAAGTGTATGACCGATCATACTTAATGTAATTTATAAAAAAAGTTTGCAAACGGATTCTTCCCCTATTTTTTAATATATTTTCTTAGAGTGAGTTTTGTGAGGAGTGCTCCTAATTAAATAGAGAGGTAAAATTGTTCTCTCCTCGTGTTAAAAGGGAGGTTGTAATTTTGGAGTTTAACCATAGTAAAGTTTTTTCTACTCTTGCCTGTAGGTTTTTTTCCCTTAATTTGTTTTAGGGTTTTTCCCACGTTAAAATCTGTGTCCATTTACTGCTTGCAATATCCTTTATCTGTTGTTATAGTTCTGTTATAGTTCTGTCCGATGGGATTCTATTTCCTAACATCACTGGTATCTAATATGAATCATAATTGAGAAGACACAAACTAATAAAGCATACTATTTGACGATTTTGTCTCTGTTGCAAGATCTAACTGAATCCTGGTAGATTCAAAAATTGTTTTTCTATAAAAGATCTTTTACTGAGAGAACCATAATTCTTCCTTTTTGAAAGAAGTGAAAGATGGAGAGACATCATGTGCTTATGAAATGTGTTTGGTGCTGACAAGAATACAAAAGGTAACATTGTTTGTGTGAGTAAAGTACCTATGCAACTGAATTCATCTACAAAAGCATGATCCTTTGGGCTAGAATCATCCAGAAAAGGATTGATTGAAGTTAAAGAATACCCATGAATTTCATCATAAATCATGCGCTGGATGGGATCACTGAGCACCTGCACTGGAATAGTCAATTTGCAATAAAAGGACAGGATCATAAAACTTCAAAAACATTTTCCTCAAACAAGAAATTTAAGAAATTCAAAATGAAACCCACCGCGTAGACATCATTGATGAACATGCAGAAATTTGTGGTCTCAAGATCATTGCCACTCAAGTCTGGGTGGCAAGCTTTCATGCAATTATAGTAGGCCTTCTTGATCTGAGCTGGTGTGGCATCTGGAAGCTAGTAAAAAAGACCAACAAATTATTAGACATACCATATCTTAGCAAAATCCACCCAATTTTACTAAAGGGTCTAAAAACTATATTATTCTATAGGAAAAACAATCAGATCAAGGATGATGATTTATGAAACCTTAAAACTTATAGTAAAGAAAATGTTTTCTATAGTTAGATTCTTTCATCCCACAAAGACTTTTTCCTATATATTAAACCACGAAAGAATAACCAGTCTTGCACCGATATAACAATAAAAATTCTTACACCAGATCTTAATCATTAATTTACTCGCAAATAACAACTCAGAATAAATAAGAGTCGTTGGATAAAAAGAATCAAGGACCAAAATTAACTATATAAGTTATTCTCTTGTAAAATGATCTGAACCCTTTTTATTAAAAAAAAAAAAAATCTGATATATATATATATATATATATATATATATAGGGTTTATCATTTCTGCAGTCACCGTAGATAACACTTTCTACCGCTGACACAAAAAAGTGAGTCCGCGACGTTTTAAATAAAATAAAATAAAATAAGAATCAGTTGCCGTGTCCCAGGATCCGCGTGCCGTCGGCAGAAATCATTTTGCCACATATATATATATATATATATATTGACGAGAGTTTGATGCCTCACCAGACCCAGAACTGCATAATAGTCATCTGCAACAGTCTCAGTAGAAGAAACTGAGTCCTCAGCAGCAACTCTTACTCTGCCACAGCCTCTTCGCTGGCCATTGTTTGTCACAAAGGTACAAAGATTTGCAGCCTTTGCTAACATACGCCATGAGCCTCTTGAACATACATTCAGTGATGGGTTGTGGATTTTGAGAACCTCTGTGTACACTGGAGACAGTAACTGAGCCATGATTCCAGTGAAAAGAAGCTAGAAGCTTATTTCAAACAGGGTGGTAAAGTTGAACACAAAAATGAAAATATAAAAAAGAAATAATATACTTGTATTCCACTTTTTTATGCGTGGAAAATTTTATATTTCTAATTTTTGTGGAGGAAGAAATTTTGGCTTAGAAGGTAAAATGTGCTGACATGGCACTCTCACAGCCACAAGACATCCTTAGAATCTGGACGAATCTAAGATGAATCCAGATTTGTTGGCAGGTCAATTCCGTCTACTTCCTTTAATTATCTATATTTCCTTGTGCAAGAATTCTGAACTTGAAATATGGATAATACATATTTTTTTGTTTTTTTAATTATCTTATATTGATGTATTATAATTAATTTACCCAATAACTTAAATTTATGACTGAAGCAAATAATTTAAATTTATAAGTAATAATTATATTAATAATATCTCTAACATATATTAAGTTTGCGGGACATTACCGAAAATGTAAGAATGAGGAATAGAGCTAATGTGTACTGCTTTGACTGAAGGAAGTCATCCCTTATCAGCGAGGCTAATTATTGTTGATGAGAATAAATTATTAAATTCACATGAACCGTTAGTACTGGTTCTGGTGGTTTATACAGATTACAGAAGTTGCCACCTTTGAGTTTAATAAGTTTGAGTAATAATAATATTTTTTAGCGTACAAAATTTATAAAACAAAAACATTAAACTTAAATAATTATTTATACTTTTTAATAAGTGGGTGTTTAGGTTTATTTAAACAAGAACAAAAACATTTTTTATTGATAAGTGGGTGTTTAGGTTTATTTAATTTGTATATGCAAAATGACTTTTTAATTAAAAAAATTACGATCATGCTAATTTTTTTAAATTAAAATTATATAAAACAGTCTTTGTAAAGCAATAAAAAAATTAGTAAATATGAGTTAATTTTTTGTATAGAATGCCAATATAATGGTGAGAGTTCAATTCAATGAAGATGATGAAATAGGGTATAAATTAATAAAAACAAACAAAGATAAAAAAATCATAAGAGAAACTCGAAGCACTGAGACAAGCTTAGAGCCATGACCGTGAAAGTATGAAGAGGATAAAAATAAAACAACACTGGGATTTGGGCATTGAGTTTATACTACTCAAATGTTATTATAAAGGATGAGATTTTTTTATTTATTTTTATATACATTGGATGGGATTCTTTTTAGACATTAAGAAATTTGCTTAACTTGTGTGAGGGACATTAATGAAATGCACAGGTTAAACTGAATCGAGTCATTGAGTGAAATATCAAGTCATCAAGTTTAAATATTCTATTTTTTTATGTCTAAACTAATAATGATCGAGATTGATTAGTATCACATATATATGATTCGAAATTTGAAGAAGAATTAAAAAAAAAATTGGTTGAGTGATAATGTAATGGTCAAAGCAACGAATTAAGGAAAAGCAATATATAGACGAATAAAAACAAACAAAAAACTACACAACAAACAAAGACTAAAAATTCGGAAAATTAGAAAGCACGATGGTCAATCCAAAGTCATTAAAAGATGAGAAAAGCAATACAATGCCACGGCCTGGGCAATGTACAAAGACCACTCAAATGTAAGATATAATGAGATGATATTCTCTTCTACTTCTTTTTTAATATGTAGATGATATTTTATTAAGAATATAAACGAATTTGTTAAATTTAACTGAGGGGGAAGTAATTACTTGATCATATAAGTTTACATATATATTTAAGAGTTTTATAAGAGTTATGTTGTAGGAAAAGTGATTGTGTAATGTTATAGAGATTCGTTTTGCGTGCCGTTGTTTTTTTTTTCAAAAAGTGTGGGCCCCACAAAATATTGTGTATGTAGAAAACTTTGTTGTGTCATGTTAAATGACAAATGCAAACTCTTATATTTAAATAAGCTCAAATAAAAGCAAATTTAAAACCCAATTGATTTGGTAAGAAAAGTTTCATCGCTCCTTTCTCAAACCAGATTAGTTGAATAACCAATGAACTGTAGAAAAATCTAAAAACAAAAACAAACAAATAAGCAAACAAATAATTGACTTATCAAACTATTTAACCAATTGGATAAAAAATATCCATTACAATTCCACATAAATCCTCCTAGGCATCTATGGCTCGTCTCATCTTCATGTCTGTAGCAATTCTTGACTTATAGAAGAGGAAGGGAAAGAAAAAGAGGAACATCCATAAAAAACATCCAAGATAGAAATGAGACAAATGAACCCAACCTAACATATGTCAACTTACACTAATCATACACCCACAATTAATGACATTAATGATTGTACAATTGTGCATATTAAAGTTGCAATCACACATACAATTCAAATTCAAATTCCACTATCCATCAAAGCTTATCAACAATCTCTCCATCAAACCTGCCTCTTATTAGTCGAGCCATATAGTGTAATCCACTCTCACCCATTCCAACCGCCCAACGGTCAATCATATTTGGTCGTCCATTGCATGTCAGATGTTGAGCACAATTAATTTAATTTACAATAGACTCATTGTTTAGGTGAAGGTCTATATGCGAGAAAGAGCATTCCCTATGCTCAATCGGCCGCAAAGATTGTTTTGAAGGGGGTGAAATATAATAACCCAAGCTATCGGCAATGGATCCGGATCCTCTAATGTGAAAAATCACATGACATGGTAAAGTGGGAAATCATAACCTTACAAAGGTGGATCAATGGTAATAATAAAGGAGAGAGAAAAAATAGTAAAATAGGTAGTTACAAAATCATAACAATTGATTTAACTTTGTATGGTTGTGATCTTCTCACATGACCATGTCATGTTTTTTCTCACATCAGAGGATCTATTTACATCGGCAATAAACTCCGGGTGTGATAGTAATTCCCTTTTAATCTCAAGTTTGTTGGATTTCATTTTAATTGATAATTAAAAGTTTTTTTTGTGCGGTATATTTTATGGGATCTATTAATCTCATGTTCCATGAAATAATTATCTCATGCAACAGAAATAAAATTGTGGGGTCTACTACTTTTTCAAAAAAAGAAAAAGAAAAAGAAAATAATGGACCTCACTATTTTGACTCTGTTGCATGAGATAATTATCTCATGCAACATGAGACAATTATTTCCCATATTTTATTTGTAACGGATTGTTGTTAAAAGGTATGGTAATGGAATGTAAGAATAAAAATTACCCAAACTTCTCACTCTAGAAATTTTTTATTTTTATTTATTTACAAAATGGATGAGTTACTAAGTCTAGAGGATTGAAGTATTGAACAATCAAAAGCAAATTTTGGTTTCGAACGAGGATATCATAAAAAACGTAATTATAAACAAGAACATCGATATGGACAGAAGTGAACTGGAAAGCCAAATGGAAGTGGAATGGGCTAAGTAGAAGCAAACTTTTGATACATTTGGTGCACCAAACTCGGTACACCCGTACTATTAAAAATATTTCTGTGAGTAGGATGGAAACATTCCTTTGGCTTCTAAGAGGGGATAACCTAATGACTAATGAGATCGTTTCGCAGACTCGAATTTTTGTCCTCTTTGCCTATCACATTCGGAAAAATCTTTGCACGCTATACAAGATTGTGCTTTGTCCCAGCAAATTTGGAAAGCATTGTTTCATCCCAGAGATTGGTAGCAATTTTTTTTCTAAATCTTTAGGTGCTATTTGGTTGGAGCTTTCTGAAAATTTGCCCATGCAAATGGAAGTGGGTATCATTGAAAGCCTTATTTGGTTGACTGATTCTTAAAATTTCTCCACCTAACCCACTTGCCTAGCAAAGCATGTTTGGTCTTAGAAATTCATCCTTTTTCACTGTTAAGAAAGACATCTTCAACATGATTTTTTGTTACTTAGATGGGCAAATGAAAAAGTGAATTATGACCCAGACCAAAATACCCCTTGGGCTGAGTTAAGTTGATGAGTCAGGCAACAAGTCATGGGGTTGCCAACTTTCCTCCACAGGCTTAACCAGTGGAAGGAGACTCTGCGATGCCCATCTCTCCAGTGACTTGAAAATTTCTATCTTTTGCGATGACATTGAATGTGTCTTTCGGTTAGAGATGGCAGATACTATTGAACGGTGTCGTGCGGTTTGGGATGGTGGATGACGATCATGATAGGAACCACTTGGGCTCCATGCAAGTGCTACACGTTGGGTACACATTGATATCATCATTGTTTGCAAACTCCACATTGATCCCGTTGGGTACTCATTTTTTATTTTCCCAAAATTTTTAAAAATAGAGATATTTTCGTAATTGCCACTTATTTTCCCATCTATATTTTACCTCAAACCAAACATAGACTTTATAAATCTTACCTAATTTACCCGGTGAAATTTTTTCCAACCAAACAACTTTGTTTACATTTTCCTACCAAACTCACTTTCCCACCATTTTCCTATCAATTATATTTCCCTAGTATTCCAAAAATTTCTCCTCAACCAAACGCCCCTTAGGGAAGTGGGTGGAATGGAATCTGTCAATGAAGATTGATCTTATGAGGTATGGAAGCTGGCTTCTCATGTTTAGCATCTCATGTTGTTTTGTTTGGAGGGAAAGAAATAACTTTGTTTTCCATGACATTCAGTCTTTACCCCCAAACGATATTTAGAAACATTCTTAGCTACCAGGACAATTTTATTGAAGTGCAGAACTTGCTCAACAAGGGAGGCTTATGCTCCCAAGTCCCAACAAAGACAACAGTAATGGCTAAAATGGACTTTTCCTCCCTTTGGCTGGTGGAAACTAAACGTAAATGGTGCTTACTCTAGTTGAGGGAAGGAATCAAGATGTAGGGGAGTGCTAAGAGTCATAGCAATGGGATGTGGGTTTTTGGTTTCTCCAAGAGTTTAGAACAAGGTAACCCAACTAGAGCATAACTATGGGGAATCCTTACAGATCTTGATTTAGCTTGAGAGGGAGGCTTCAGAGCAATAATCCTCGAAGAAGACTGATAGGAATATACTCATATAGATGCATGTAGGAAATTATATTCTACCAATGAGGTGGCATAACTAACTTTAGAATATTTTAGGAGGTTAGGCTAAATATAAGAGGGAAAATATGTAGTGTGTAAAGGCAACATGAGAAATATTGGACTTGGAATTGAGAGAGTCAGTACCTCTCGAATGTACTGAAATTTAGCTTTTCTGCTTTGATTATTTTACTGTTAATGTATTTGAATTATGCAATTTCCTTTATTGTTCAAATATATAGAAAATCCAGATCCTTTTATAGGCAAAAATATTGTTGTTTGTCTCTGTTTTATTATTATTTGATCGGGTTCTTATCAATTGGTATCAGAGCTATCCGATCCAGGTAGCTTTGAACCACACCAATTAGGAAGGAAAAAAAAAGAATGGAAAACAGATCTGAAGATTGGAGAAAAGAAGAGAGACAGCTGGAAAACAGATTGGAAGAAACAAGAAAGGCAAGTTGAACAAAATAATAGGGAGATACTCAGGCTCCTTGATGAACTTCTTGAGAAGACCAAGAATCACGCTTACAATAACGGACAGAAGGCGAGATGGAACACAAGTTTCACAGCCAAAAAGGGAAACCCAGAGAGGTCTAGTGGTGGAGAATCTATTTCGCGGAATGAAGATTCCTTTATTCTATAGAGAAGAAGATGATGCCTAGGGATGCCTAATTTACCTTGAGTAATATTTCCAAACCAAGAAAATTCGAGAAGAAGAAAATATGAGAAAGGCAAAAAAAAGCTTAGAGGTTTTGCATTCAATTGGTACAAATGTTGGAGTTGGCTTAATCCTTATGCTAGTTAGAACAAATTTGAAAAAGCTTTTATAGAAAAATATCTTCTTGAGATTTATTTGGTAGAAGATGAAGGTTGTGAATCTCAAAAACCAGAATATGAAAATCAACAAAATTCTAAGTGGGAGAAGGAAAGTGACGATAAAGATAAACCAGTGAAAACAGAAGTGGTTTCGATTTTAAAATGGCCAACAAAAGAGAAAGGAAGAGAGGAAAATCAAGGACTCTTGAAAAAAGGATTCAGAAGAAGGGCATTTAGAAGAAGGTGTATGCGTGTGCAGTTGACAGAATCACTACGGGCTCCAATGATGGTGGTTGATCCTCCACCCTTACCGGAACCACCGGATTTGCGCTGTTATGAGAAGGAGCAGCTGGAACATTTGACCAATGGCATTGAAGGAGGTCGATTTTGTATGCATTATGAGAATGAAAGAGCGGTTCAAATCATGGAGGCGAAACAAAATGGTGGCTAACAAGGTGGTGGTCGACACACCTCTCTCGCTTGAACCATCAGATTCGAACAGTGCTTCACGAGGATAGTGGTTGTGATGGCATTACAAGATGAAAGAAGAGCAAGGTAGGTCAAGGGATACACTACACAAGTTGGGCCAAGCGGTTGACCTAATGGGCCCAAATTATTTTAAGGCATTCCCAGCCCAACATAATGATATGATTCTTTTAATGGGTTCTTTTGAAATTGCTCTTAATACATTCTCAGCCCAACATAGAGACAGAGGTCTCTTACATTCTAGTAAGTGTGATGTTAGGAATTGCAAAACGATGATAAAGATGCCTAGCACCAATCCATCAACCCTAGACAATGTCAGCTTACTCAAAAATTTTGAGATTCCCATTGAGGGCGTTCAAACTCCAGTAGACCAATTCACAATTGTGGCTGGGTACTCAGCAACATTAGAGAAGGAAATCTTCATTTATTATTGTGGAAGGAATAAAAAATCTCATCGAGGCTCCGTGACCAATCCTAATCTTGTGGGAGTTGCAGAGGAGTCATGGGATCCTGGGGGACATTATCATTCTTCGGGCGCATGTGGATTTCTACAATTCAATCAATGGGATCCTGGTGGAAGTTTCTTGGAGCTAAACCTCACCTTGATGGCAAGATGAGTGTTTTGGGGGAGAGTATTGATAAGAATATACTCATGTAGGTGCATATAGGGAATTATGTTCTACCAATGCGGTGGCATAACCAACTTTAAAATATTCTAGAAGGTTAGGCTAAATATAAGAGGAAAAATATGTAGTGTGGAAAATATTGGACTTGGAATTAGGAGAGTGAGTAACTCTCGAATATACTGAAATTTAGCTTTTCTGCTTTAAATATTTTACTATTAATGTATTTGAATTCTATAATTTCCTTTCTTGTTCAAATATATAAAAAAATCCAGATTCTGGGCAAAAATACTGTTGTTTGTCTCTAAAAATACTGTTGTTTGTCTCTGTTTTACTTATTTGATCCGGTTCTTAACAGACTCTACTCTACCCAGATACTGGATTTCTAATAGAGTGATAGAGCTACTGCACCAAAGCTCGAGAGTTCAAATTTTGCCTATGGGAATTTGGTGGCAGATTGGTTCACCGTGCGATCTTGGGTTAGGGTCATCACTGGTACTAGTTTACCTAGAGTAGTTAGGTAGTCTTTGTTTTCAATATTAATAGTAAAAAGCATGCCAAACTAGGCTTGCCCCTACCTGTGTAGGCAAGAACACCATCATTTCGTACTACTAACTTTCTAAAATCCGACTAAAACAATGTAAAGATATAATCAACAGGGAATAGGTATGCTTTATAACTAGAATTAAACATTAGACATAATCATCAGTTTCCAGGTTACACTAAGCAGCCAGTAACATGTATACATCTTCAGAGGGGAAGGAAAACTGCATCTTAGACCTGAACCCTATTCTATTGACCACAAACAGGCCATCCTGTGTATTACATTAATCACTAGAACGATTGACTCCTTGTTTCATTATCTCTTTACATTTATATGCCTGCCGGAAGAGGAAAGTCCAGATCACTTTGCCACCTGAAGTGCTCTGGGATGAGTTTATCGATCAGTTCAGGGGGTGCTCCAGCTAACTGCAGCCAAATTTTCATTACGGAATCATTAACATATACAAATACCACATAGGTTATAGTAAAATTTAACTTTTAACAATTTAATTTAAATAAATATCAACTTCACCTTTATCCTAAACTAATTGGGGAAAAGCAAGAAAAGATTGCACTCAGACATGTGTATCAACATTCAACAATGCAATTTCTGTTGTGTTACTATCTATGAAGCACCGATACGGCATTTTTGATACGTTCTCAATGATACAGGATGTCGATTATCAAACAACACGTGTCCGATACGTTTTCGATACGCGTATCCGATACGTTGGAAAAGAATTTAAGGAGTATCGGTGCTTCATAGGTTACTATTTCCACTAATTTTTGTGTTAGTTACTGTTTGCAATTTAAATATATAAGAATTGTTACACTAGATTACCTTGCTTATTCTATAGACCGTGCAGAAGACATGGAGATGTCATAAAAACCCATGTTGAACAATAAACAATGAAAAAGCCTTACATACATCAAATTCAACAGAAGAAACAGATTAGATGCATACCTCCTGTTTAGTAAAGTCAAAAAGCGGAGGCAGTGGACGACCATTAGGTAATCGGGCATTCGGGTCACGAAGTTCATCAAAAAACCTATGCGCGCATGCTTCCAGCTGAATAGTGAAAGCCATTCGTTTAAACTATGCTAATTTTATAAATATTTTAAAATAATATATAAACAAAGAGAAAAACAAAACCTTTTTGTTAAAATACTTTATCACAGAAATTAATAACTATACTAAAATATGACATACCAAGGCATGAGTATCTAATCTCATGGCAACTAGATATGAACAAAGGGAACTTATGTAATTGTAAATAGTTTTCATATCAAGACTTGTTTAATATACTAATATGCTTCTGCTGTATATGTGCCTTCCTTAAAAAGGAAGGCAGTGGAGAAGGTATAAGGGTTTGCCGTACTCACTGCAGAGCATCGTAAGCTTGGTGAATATTGGAGAAGCCTTTGTGCAAGGTCAATTGCTTCAGGAGGCATTCGCTTTCGAAAAACCTGAACCATGGATCATTGCACCAAATGCATCAATCAACCGGAAAAAAAAAGCACCCAGAAAAACCATTATAAAGCAAAATATGACTGGCACGAATGCACTTACCTTATGCCAAGGATGACCTTTAACTTGGGGGAATCTAAAATCTGTATAATTAGGGTTCATACATCGAATTTCTTCTCGAGTCGGAGTACCAAGAATCTACAAGATGACACGCAAATAATTATTTCTCTGTAACTAAATTCATGCAATCCAGCACAAACATCAACATAGACAATGCATCACCTTAATAATTTCCACAAGTTGGTCCACCTGATTGTCTCCTGGGAACAATGGCTACAGAAACAGTTTGAAACTATGAGAAGTCAAGATAATCTTAAAAACAGAGAGAAAAAAATTATTATATATGAGCAACGTTAGAGCATAAGTTGCCAAAGAAGTTTGACAACCTGGCCTAGAAGAAGTTCGGCGAGGACACAGCCAGCTGACCAGATATCAACAGAAGTTGTGTATTCTGTCGCACCAAATATTAGCTCGGGGGCCCGATAGTATCGTGAACATATGTATGAAATGTTTGATTCACCCTCGACCTGACATAAAATTATTATAATTACACTTATTTTTAATGACCAAATAATCGTAACCAAAATTGCAAGTTCTTCCAACCAAAAACCTTTCTTCCATTTATTGGTCTTATAATAGGGAAAAATAACGAGCTTGGGTCCAGATTAATAACAATATTAACATTTTACCGGCTATTTACTGAAATGTCATCATCACTTACAAAATTAAAATTTGCAAATTTGTAGACAGATCTTAAAGAGCTTATCTGATTCTATGATCAATAGGTATGTAGCATATGACTTTAATACCGCACCATTAACAAGGTAGCATACTAGTATTAAGTAAAATGATTAGCACAAGAAGAATGCAGACCAACATACCAAAATTTTTGCACTCCCAAAATCGCAAAGCTTAACTTGGTGAGTGAGAGGATCAACCTAAAGAAGAAACATACAAAAAGTTTAGAATAAAAGAATGCAACTCACTGAGGAAAAACAGCAAACGAATAACATACCAAAAGATTTTGAGGCTTCACATCCCTATGGGTAACTCCTGGTACAGTATGGATATATGCTAGTGCTCTTAAGATCTAAACATCAAATCCCAACTCAAATGTTACAATATTTCAAAAACAAAAGTGAGGAACAACATATCAAACCAAATTGCAAATAGAGAAGACCTCATACTTGATATGTATATAATTTCACATAGATTAGGGGCATTCGCTGGTTCATACTATTGTAGCGCTTTAGAACTCGGGACATCGTTTCGGGGACATATTCCATTACCAAGTTCAGAAAAAGTTCATCTCTGCTTGTTGTAGAGAAGAAATGGTTCTGCATGGAAATTATATTTGGGTGATCCATCAAGCCCATTAACTGTAGTTCACGATTTTTGTATCGCCTGTCCTGCAGGACCTTCTTTATAGCCACAGCCTCCCCAGTCTCCAAGCACTTTGCCTTTGTTTCAGGTCAAAAAGGAACACAACCCAGGGATGTGAAGCAATGAGATACTTAACAACAAAAAATGCTTAGTAAGAATAGTTATCACCTTAGAGTTTAATACATTATTTATCCTTACCTGGAAAACAATTCCAAATGATCCAGTGCCAACAACACGTTCGGCCATGTAACTGATGGTCTGCAAGTGGTATTAGACATGAAGTTATGAAGAATAAAAGAAATGGAAACCCATGGATGTAAACATCAATCTTAACTTAAGTATTCAAGCTTATTGAACCATTATTGCAATACATCAAAATTCTTCAAAACAATACTTTTTAAGGCCCAAAAATGGGAAACCAAAAAAATAATAATAATAAATCAGTTGGTAGAAGGGGCAATAGGGGAAAAAACATAATAAAACCACTCCCTAAGAAATCCTAACTATCGAGGATAGAGGTGAGGGAAATCCTTATATGCAGCCTTGTCCTAACATTTTTGGAAATAGGCGGTTTCCTAGATTCGAACTCATGACCTTTCGGTCACAAAGGAGCAGCTTTACCACTGCTCCAAGCTCGTCCTCTTGGGACGGAAAACAACTATAGGCACTGAGGAAATAATCCAACTTCTAGATGACTAACAGAATTATATTTTTGGATTGATCCTTAATAAAAGGGGCAATTTACTAGCGTTATTACCCAACAAAAAATTGTACTTCCACTTTTTCCCAAAAAGGAAGTAAATTGTTATCTAAAGTATATATGAACTTGTACTAGAAACTTGACGTTGAGAATAAAAAAAGTTAGAATATGCCCGCACCCGTTTAGGTTCACCATTTTTGCCTCCAATTGTGGTTGAGATTATGTGACCAGTGACTTCACCATTACCCTCCATGACAGTAGCTGACATTTCCTGTAATTTATAGCAGTAAATAGATATTTAATATGGTAAGCAATTCTCCTAATACAGAAATAGAATATCAGACTCTTCTTGATGTAATATCTGTTATTGCTTATTGAGTTATTTCAATTAACTAACTTGTCAAAATCAACTTATTAGCAATTATCATCAATAATTTGTTTTAAAAACAATCACTAAGTATGGCAACTTGATATTCCTAACAGGTATCCCATTCACGACTCAGCAAAGTCACAGATGGACAATTGAACATGCATAGATGCAAAGCCAGATTAGCAGGCAATACTTTGGACTCCTACTCCAGTACTGCATGTTAAGATGAGATATTAAGAAAAACAATAAACTCTACTATTTCAAAATCCTGCATTGATTAAAAGTGTTCTATGATAAGAGGAACACACAGCAATGGAGCATGACCAGCAGGAATGGATGGATAGCCAGCAATCAGAATGGGAAGTTGAAGATAGGTAAAGTATAAAGAGCTCAAAGGTATATGCACATAAAGTTAAATCAGGTTACCACAGTTCACAAGAAAGCATCACATGCAAAAGGAAAGCTTTAATGTCAATTAAGAGACCACACAGAGAGAGAATATAAGGACACTAATTCCCTGAAGCAAACTAAAACAGTTTGAACAACAATCCACCAACAAAACAAGGAAAACCCGTTTTAAGAAGGTACCCAAGATTTAAATAGAAATTATACCTAAATAATAATGTAAATAATATAGGGCCAACTCTAAAACAAAATCCACAATGTTGCTAGAGTCATTTTAATTTCACAATAGATTATAGATTAAGTGAAAGCAACATGGCTTATTAGGGGGGGAAAAAAAACTGGGAGATAAATTATGACATGTTCCATCCCCATAAAGTAGCAGCGGTAAAAAAAAAATTCTGCGAGTGAAAAAAATCTGAGGGATGCGAAATTCAGGTGCACACAACATAGAGGCTAAGACAACTTGATGTTCAGTTAAGTACCTAGTCAGATTCTCTCTCTCTCTCTCTCTCTCTCTTGAGAGTTTAAAGGAATAATACGCCTAAATTGAAGAACAGGATTCTACATTTTCACTTCATTTGATTCCCTTTCACTTTTCTGGACCATTAAACGGAAAGCTCCACAAGCTTCAAATTTTCAACACTAAGATCTTAACCATAAAATCACATATGGAAAAACCCAAAAAAAGAGAAGGAAAAAAAAAACAATTTGTCTATTTACAAAATTACAATTCCTTAAGAAGGAGGGGAACATCATTCCTTTAAGGCCACCGTTCAACCACGCCGATCAAAGGTTCGCCGGAGAAAAACTCCGGCAAGCCAACCGGGGTCACATAACAAGGGGAAAAAAATGGAGGAAATGGTTAGATCGCCGTAGGCTTGTTCGGTGGATCAAAGACAATTCAAACATCGGAAACGGTGGTTGAGAACAGTGCTTTGTGTACAATGAGAGAATGTTTGAGAGTGGAAATTACCTTATCAGTCTCCATTTCGGAGTCACCGTGAGCCTCCACATTCGGGGGGTCATTCTCAGCTAGCGGCGGCAAAAACTGCATCGGTGGTTGTTGCGGTGGTGGTGGCGGCAACGGTAACGGCACCGGCACCGGCATCGGCAGAGGAAGAGGCAGAGGTAGAGGCAGCGGTGGAGCTGCTGCTAGCTGTTGTTGATGTTGGTTCGGCCCCAACGGAATGGAGGCCATGTGAGAAGTTACACACAGAAACACAAACACAAACACAAAAACACACACACACAGTGTTTCTCTCTCTAACTCACTTACTTACTTTCTCTCTCTTGTATGTTCCGAGGGAATAGTGCTCGGGTCTGGGTCCAGGCTTTGGTATATATATAGAGGAGAGTGTGTGTGAGTGATTGTGTGTTATCTCACGCTCTTCTTCTACAGCGTGAAACTCACGCCTAGATCATAGCGGTTCGATTTTTGTTCTGGTGTGGTGACGTGCACATCGGAAATATAGTCCATAGGCTTACGTGGGAAATCGAAGGAAGACAAGGATAACATGTAACCTCCAACGTTGCATTTGCGGAATATACGTATTTAGGATATAGTTATGGTTACGTAAAATACTGAAGTTTAATAATCTACACATTTATTAACTCATAGTTCTATGTGGCTGATGAGTTTAGTTTAATAAATTTCAGTTATACTAATAATTTTTATCGTATCAAATTTCTTTATAACATAATAGAATAATAATAATTTTCTTTATAACTATAGTGTTTGGATTTATTTAATTTATATCTGAAAAATATTTTATTAGTTAAAAAATTTAGATATATGTTATTTTTTAAAATAATATTTATCATATTAAATAAGTTTATAATTATTTAATAATATTATTAAATGCATGTTTACTTTTTAAAAAAAAATAATAATGAAGCGGCGAAAATTGTTTCGATTGCAATAAAGGATGACGGAAAAATAGCAGAGGAACCGGATGAAAAAAGACTGTCTTAAAGGCGTAACTGTAAAATTATAAAGATAAGGTGAAATGAAATTTTTTATTAGTTTCATTTATTACAAAGCATTTTTATTTAGAATTATTTTATGTTTAGATCAGTTACACATCGCGTCACACAAAAAAATTATTTTATCTTTAGGAAATCATCTTTATTTATTCATGTTTTAAAAATAAATAAAGTTCTAAAAAAAGTAAGCTTATATTGATTTTTTCTAATAATTTACTAATTAGCTTAGTAAAAAAATTTAACATTGGGACATGGACATTAGGCAAAGTCTACATAGATATGAAATAAAATTTATAATTACTTTTTTTTTTAAAACCAAATTTATAATTATTTAATAATATTAATAAATGCATGTTTGCTTTCTTTAAAAAAAATAACAACAAAGCAGCAAAAATTGTCGCAATTGTAATAAAGGAAGACGGAAAAATAGCAGATGAATCGGATTAACAAAGACTGTCTTAAAGACGTAACCGCAAAAGTATAAAGATAAGGTGAGATGACGAATTGTTTATTAGTTTCATTTATTACAACGTATTTTTTATTTATAATTGTTTTATGTTTAGGTAAGTTACACATTGCGTCAAACAAAAAAATTATTTTAATTTTAAGAGAACATCTTTATTTATTCAGGTATTAAAAATAAATAAAATTCTAAAAATTATAAGCTTATTTTTTTCCTTAAAATTTACTAATTAGCTTAATAAAAAATTATAACATTGGAGCATGGACATTAGGCAAAATCTACATAGATCGAAGATAAAATTTATAATTATATAATAATATTACTAAATGCATGTTTACTTTCTTTAAAAAAAACAATGAAGTGGTGAAAATTGTCGCAATTGTAATAAAGGAAGACGGAAAAATAGCAGAGAAACCGAATGAACAAAGACCTCCTTAAAGGTGTAACCGCAAAAATATAAAGATAAGGTTGGATAAAGAATTTTTTACTAATTTCATTTATTACAAAGTATTTTTTATTTACAATTGTTTAATGTTTAGATCAGTTACACATCGCGTCAAACCAAAAATTTATTTTATCTTTTTTTTTTTTGATAACAAAAATTTATTTTATCTTTAAGAGAACAACTTTATTCATTCACATTTTGAGAATAAATAAAATTGTAAAAAATTTAAGCTTATATTGATTTCTTCTAAAAATTTACTGATAAGTTTAATAATAAAAAAAATTAGCATTGGTGCATGGACATTTGGCAAAGTCTACATTGGAGCATGGACATTAGCATTGGAGCATGGAGCATGGACATTTACCAAAAAAAAAGATAAAATTTATAATTATTATTTTTTTGGTAGTCAAATTTATAATTATTTAATAATATTATTAAATGCATGTTTACTTTCTTAAAAAAAAATAACAATGAAGCGGCGAAAATTATCGCAATTGTAATAAAGGAAGACGAAAAAATAGCAGAGAAACCGAATGAACAAAGACCTTCTTAAAGGCGTAACCGCAAAAATATAAAGATAAGGTTGCATAAACAATTTTTTACTAATTTTATTTGTTACAAAGTAGTTTTTATTTACAATTATTTAATGTTTAGATTAGTTACACATCGCGTCAAACCAAGAATTTATTTTATCCTTAAGAGAACAATTTTATTCATTCACGTTTTGAAAATAAATAAAATTCTAAAAAAATTAAGCTTATATTGATTTCTTATAAAAATTTACAGATAAGTTTAATAAATGAAAAATTTAGCATTGGAGCATGGACATTTGGCAAAGTCTACATATATCTAAGATAAAATTTATAATTATTTAATAACATTATTAAAGGCATGTTTACTTTCTTTAAAAAAAATAACAACGAAGCGGGCAATTGTAATAAATGAATACGAAAAAATAGCAGAGAAACCGAATGAACAAAGACCTCCTTAAAGGCGTAACCGCAAAAATATAAAGATAAGGTTGGACAAATAATTTTTTACTAATTTCATTTATTACAAAGTATTTTTTATTTACAATTGTTTAATGTTTAGATTAGTTACACATCGCGTCAAACCAAAAATTTATTTTATCTTTAAGAGAACAACTTTATTCATTCACATTTTGAAAATAAATAAAATTCTAAAATATTTAAGCTTATATTGATTTCTTTTAAAAATTTACTTATAAGTTTAATAATAATAAAATTTAGCATTGGAGCATGGACGTTTGGTATGACGCTCACAGCGTGGAGCTAAAAAGGAAAAAGCTAAACTGAAGGCCCACGCTCACAGCATGAAAGGAGCTTTTCAGCCAGAGGCATCCACGCTACTAGCGTGGGATTCACGCTAGTAGCGCCATACATCCAATTCAGGCAGAAGCTACCACGCTACTGGCGTGGGATTGACACTAGTAGCGCCAGACTTTTCACAAACCCACGCTTGAAGCGTGGCAACCACGCTAGTTGCGTGGAGCTCTAGGATTCTTCACAAAAACTCTCACGCTCACAGCGTGGGAACCACGCTAGTGGCGTGGGAGGTGCGTCAATCAACATTAAATCTGTTTTAAATTAGAGACAGATCACACTGAGATTACGACAAGGATTCAATCAAGATTCTACACCAGGTCAAAGACTCTATAAATAGAGACTCAGGCCTCAATAGAAAATAACTTTTGCACAGAGAGGAAGACGAAGGCAGAACGCAGAGCATGCTTCTTCTCCAATTTTATGGTTTTATTATTTTATTTTATGAATTCTTTTCAATTCTTTGAATTATCATACATGAATATGTCTGGCTAGTTTTTTTATTATTGTGGTAAGGGTCACAACCCTTGATGTGAACCCCTTGTAGTTTGGTTAAATTTATATTTAATTATTTTAAATTGCATTTATTTTATCCTGTTCTTGATCTTTTAATTCTTTTAGAATTGATCACTCTATTAGGATTGCGAGGGTTAGGGTTTTCAATAGGAATATTGAGATTCTAGTTCCTGACAAGGGTAAAATAACAGTTCATGTATGCACTAGGGATATGCTACATGAACTGCAAACGTGGAAAATTCACTAGGTTAAAAAGATTAACTTGAAAAAGGATTTCTAAGGGATTAGGATTCTAATGGGTTTAATAAAGTTAAGATCACTAAGGGATTAGGGCTTAACTAACCAATTAATAGATGGTGAATTGTTTGATCAATGCATAATTAAATGTAAATATTAATTAATATTACAAGGTGGGGATCGGAAAGGTGTTGGCGTCCTTTACTGCAATAGTTTTTTATATATTTTTCTCAATCTCAACCTTTTACTTTAAGTTTTCAAAATCATCTTTGAATTGTTCACAAGTCTTGAATAATTCTCAATCTTTACAATCACAAATATTCTCAAAACCAATTTTATTAATCCAACTAGAAAGGAATAGTTAAAATAATTTTGGTGTCTCAATCCTCATGGAGACGATACTCTACTTACCCTTTATTACTTGGTACGATCGGTGCACTTCCCGATTTTACGCAACAAGTTTTTGGCGCCGTTGCCGGGGATTGGCTACGCCTAATTTATTTTTAACTTTTGAATTTCTTGATTGGATATTGTTTTGTTACTGATCTTTTTGCTGTAGTTTATGCGAGGTAAAGTAAATCGAGACACTTTACAGTTTGATCCAGAAATAGAGAAAATTGCAAAGAAGAACCGAAAGCTAGCCAAGCAAAGAAAGCAGGAAGAATCCTCGAGTTCAGAACCAAAAGCAGAACCCGAGATGGCCGCAAATAAGCAACCACCTCATGCGGAGGAATTGATGGAGTCAATCTTGGCTCCAATGTTTACACGGCCGAATTCAAGCATCATCATACCACAAGTCAACGCTAATAATTTTGACATTCAGCCAACACTGATAAACTTGGTTGAGAAAAATCCATTTGGCGGAGAAGACTATGAAGACCCTCATGATTTCATGGACAGATTTCTGAGAATATGTGATACAACCAAGCATAATGGGGTGTCCGACGATGCAATTAGACTCAGACTATTCCCTTTTGCTATAACAAGGAAAGCTCTGAGATGGTTGGATAGGCAAGCTCCCAACAGCATCACAACGTGGGATGATTTGGCTGCTAAATTCTTTGCAGAGAACTTCTCCAGGGAGAAATACAATAAGTTGGTGAATGAGATCACCAACTTCACTCAACATCCGGGAGAAACTTTATGTGCAGCTTGGACCAGGTTCCAAGAATTGATCAGGAAGTGTCCCCAGTACGACTTGCCGGACAGAAAGAAGGCCAGAGTTTTCTATAATGGAATGACGCCGGAATCCAGGATGGTGGTCAATGGTGCAGCTGGAGGAACCATAGCAAGGAAGACAGCAGCTTAAACTTTAGAGATAATCGACAACATGGCAAGAGCTGATAATGCTTCAATGGAAGTTCAGCCAGCTCAACCCAAGAAGGGAATTTTACAACTGGGGAACACCGACGCCTCATTAGTTGAGCAAAAGGTGATTTCACAGCAGTTGGCCAGTCTGAACGCCAAGCTAGATAGAATGCAGATCTCATCTAAAGTTAATGTATTCAACTGTGAGTACTGCAAAGAGCCACATGAGACTAATGAGTGCCCTACATTCAATGGAGCTGAACCATTCCAAGTCAATGGAGTGTGGTATGATCCAAGGCCACCACAGGATACCCAAAGTTACCAGAGAAATCAGAATGGAGGCCAAGGGAACAACTTTCAAAGGAGGAATCAAGGGAGCGGCTTGGATTATAAATCCAACAACTATCTGCAACCTCCTCCTCTGCCACTAAAAGAGCCATCCGAATTGGAGAAAACAATGATACAACTGGCCAAGACCACTAATGATCAAATAATTGAGACAAGAGCCTACCACAAGAACCAGGATGCTTCCATCCGAAACTTGGAGAGTCAAATAGGCCAGTTGTCTAGGCAGTTGGCTGAAAGAGCTCAAGGACAGTTCCCAGGAGATACAATTGTGAATCCAAAGGCAGACTGCAAGTCCATTGTGACTAGGAGTGAAATTTTAATCACTCCTCAAGAAAAACCAAAATCGGTTCAGCATGAGAAAGAAGAAGAAGCACCTGCCAGTGAAAAAGAAGAACCTGCAAGGCAAGACAAAGTAGAAGCAAAGAAGAAAGTTGTGGAAGCTCCAAAGCAACCGATGGATTTTTCTCGTTTTGAAAAACCTCCTTATCCTATGAAGCTCAAGCAACAAGCCCAGAAGCAACAATATGCCTGGTTCTTAGATATATTTAAAAAGTTACAAATTAATATTCCTTTTGCTGAGGCTTTAGCTAACATGCCTAATTATGCTAAATTCATAAAGATTTATTGTCTAGAAAGCATAAGTTGCAGGATTGTGAGACAGTAGCACTTACTGAAGAGTGCAGTGCCATCATACAGAAGAAGTTCCCACCAAAGCTTCAAGATCCTGGGAGTTTCAACATCCCAATTGCGGTAGGCAACACTAATGTTGGTCGGGCACTGTGTGATCTCGGCGCAAGCATCAACTTGATGCCATTATCAATATGCAAGTCATTGGGAATTACTGAGTTGAAGCCAACCATGGTCTCTCTACAGCTCGCTGACCGTTCTTTGAGGAGACCTAATGGAATCATAGAAGATGTTCTTGTTAAGGTTGACAAGTTCATCTTCCCGACTGATTTCATCGTGCTAGACATGGAGGAAGAGAGTGAAATGCCCCTTCTGCTGGGTAGATTGTTCTTGGCCACAGCTCGAGCTATGATTGATGTAGAACAAGAAAAGCTCGAGTTGAGGATGAATGATGAGAAAATCACTATCAATGTTTTCGATGCTATGAAGAATCCCTCTTATCATAGTGATTGTTTCAAAATTGAAGTGTTTGAAGAGGTGGTTATGGAAGAGAAAAGTGATTATCAAGAGCTTGAAGAAGAGTTGAAGGCTCTAGATGAAGCTGCTCCAAAAGAAGAGCGAGCAATTGTCTTTGAGGTACTAGAAAAGAAAGAAGATGACTCAGCTACATTGGTACCAAAGGTGGAATTAAAAGATTTGCCTGAAACTCTTAAGTATGCTTTCTTGGGAGACGAAGAACAATAACCTGTTATCATTAATAAGGAAGTCCATCAGCAGCATAATGAAAGCAAGCCAAAGGTTAAGATGGAAAAGCCCAAGAGTAAAGAAAAGCATGTAAAGACTAAGTTCAAAGTTCCTGAGAACCCTCATCCTCATTCACATGCATATGATCATGGAAGGAAAAAATATTGGATCAAGAAGATTGGGTCATCAATGGTAGCATGCTTCCAACCACCATAAATCACAAGGGGTACGTCAGGCTCGTGACGTTAAACAAGCGCTAATTGGGAGGCAACCCAATAGTTATTTTCTGTTTTTATTTTATTTATTTTATTTTCTTAGGATAGTTTAAAATTTAATAAGTCAAGTAAGTGGTGAATTAGTGACCATATGAAAAAAAATTAAATTTGGGAATTGGCGCTAGTAGCGCCACAAGACCAAAATAGACAGTGAGTTCCACGCTCACAGCGTGGTAACCACGCCATCAGCGTGGAAACCTCACGAAGTACTCACGCCAATAGCGTGAATTCCACGCTGCGAGCGCAATCAAACAAAATGAGGCAGTGAGTTCCACGCTCACAGCGTTAAACCCACGCTGTGAGCGCCAGTTCACTTCACCATGATACTTACTTTTACATTTCATTTTGTTGTTTTGAGTATTTTGTGGATTATTGGTCGGATTATTTCTCTTTATACAGTACGCTTTGATGATTATTCTCTGTTACTATTTAACAAGTGTGTGTGTGTGTGTTCCACCTGGCAGAATTAGCTTCTTCGACTAGTATAGTTGTTGCTGAGGACAACAACGTTCTAAATCTGGGAATTGTCGCATACTGTATGCGAGGCTTGCTAAATACTGCGGAACTACACCACGGAAAGGACGCCTAAACAGAAATTTTTCTGAAAAAGGGGAGATATTTTAACCTTCAATTTTTATTTATTTTTATTTGCTGTTTTTAGTTAGATTCAATTTTTAAAGAAAAAGAGAAATTTTTTAGAAAATTCCTAAACAAGCAGTCCCAGAGTATTCTAAGCTTACACAGTAAGTAATTAGATTGAGTTAGATGAAGCATGATATCTGTGAGCAATTAATTGTTTTAATCTGAGAATGATGACTGCTCGTTT